ATATTCGAAAACTAGCAACAAAGCTCAAGAATTCGCTGTCGCCGGAGAGAGAGAAAAGATGAAGAAGAGCTTCGAAGAGCTCGTTCCATCTTACCTGCACACCTACGCTGATATTTTTGCGAAAGACGGCCTTAATAAGTTGCCACCGGAACGTCCTGGTATCGATCATCGAATCGATCTGAAGCCTGGATTCATGCCAAGGACGTCCAAGATCTACCCATTATCAGGAAAAGAAAGAGAAGCAGTGAAAAACTTTATCACGGAAAACACCGCGAAAGGATTTATCGTACCCTCGAAATCCCCGCAGGCCAGCGGATTTTTCTTCGTAGGAAAGAAAAGCGGAGAGTTACGCCCTTGCCAAGACTATCGCTACCTCAATGACTGGACCGTACGCAACCAATACCCGCTCCCGCTCCCTAAAACTCTCATAGAACGACTCTACAAAGCAAAACATTTCACAAAGATCGACATACGGTCAGGCTATAACAATATCAGAATCCACCCTGACGATAGATGGAAAGCGGCTTTCACTACCGAAGAAGGCCTGTTCGAGCCCACTGTAATGTTCTTTGGCTTAACCAACTCCCCCGCTACCTTCCAGTCCTACATGAACAATCGCTTCCAGAAAGAAATCAATGAAGGATGGATCGTTATATATATGGACGACCTGCTCATCTTTTCCTCCGACCTCGCAGAACACCGTGAACGAACGAAACGAGTGTTGGAGATACTTCGTCACGAACAACTGTTCGTCAAACCGGAAAAATGTACTTTTGACGCAGCAGAAGTGGAATACCTTGGAATGATTATTCGTCCCGGAGAAGTTGCAATGGAACACGCCAAAGTTGACAGGATAAAGGATTGGCCTATCCCAACTTCCGTAAAAGACGTCCGCTCCTTTCTCGGATTTTGCAACTTCTACAGGGTGTTTGTATCCCACTATTCTGACATCGCCCGCCCACTTATCAATCTAACTCGAAAAGATCAAGTCTTCGCCTGGACACCTGACGCTCAGACCTCTTTCGATAACCTCAAGCGATGTTTTACAACGAAACCGGTACTACGCAACCCTGACCCTACACGACAATTTGCCCTTGCCACTGACGCCTCTCTGGTAGCAACCGGGGCCGTGCTCCTTCAGACGGATGAAAATGGCGTCTACCATCCTTGCGAATATATTTCTCAGTCATTCAACCCCGCTGAACGCAACTATGAAATCTTCGATCGAGAGCTGCTCGCTATCATTCGCGCTCTCAACGAATGGCGCCATTATTTAGAAGGAAATCCCCATCCCATTCTCGTCTTCACCGACCACCTGAACCTCCTCTACTTTTCAAAAGCACAGAAGCTTTCTCGAAGACAAGCACGTTGGCAGCTTGTTCTGTCCAATTATGATCTCGAATTGCATCACGTCCCTGGAGCAAAACTTGCTGCACCTGACGCACTTTCTCGACGCCCGGATCACGGTCTTGGTGAAAACGACAATGAGGATCGTGTGCTCCTTCCAGACTCCATGTTCATATGATTAATCGACGATGAACTCTCCACCGCCCTTGCAAAAAACTCCCTAGATGATCCCATTTTCGCCACCGCCAGCGACGCCCTGGATGGGCTTTGCCTACCCCCTATGAAATCGGCCCTCTCCGACTGGACGATGTCGGACGGAGTACTTTATTATAAGTCTCGCGCCTATGTGCCACCTTCACACCGAACGGCCATATTGCTCCGTCACCATGATCATCCCACTGCTGGTCACCCCGGGCGGTTTAAAACAGAAGAACTTGTCAAGCGTGACTACTGGTGGCCTGCAATGGGCACTTTTATTCGCTCTTATGTCGCTGGATGCGCTCTCTGTCAGCAGATGAAAGCTGACACTCACCCCGTCTCACCGCCCATTGCCCCCATCCCCTCCTCCGCCACTCGCCCTTTTTCCCAGGTCTCTGTTGACCTTGTCACCGACCTCCCCATTTCCAATGGTTTTGATTCTCTCATGGTCGTGGTAGACCATGGCCTTACGAAGGGGGTGATTATTTCTCCCTGTAACAAGAACATCTCTTCTGAAGGAGTGGCTAAACTATTCTTCAAGAACGTATTCAAGCGTTTCGGACTCCACGAAAAGGTGATCTCTGACCGAGGTCCCCAGTTCATTTCAAAGTTCTCTAGAGAACTAGCACACCTCTTAGGGTATCAGATTGCTGCCTCCACGGCATATCACCCTCAAACTGATGGACAAACCGAACAACTCAACCAAGAAATAGAGACGTACCTCCGAATATACTGTAGAAGCAACCCCTATGAATGGTCGGACCACCTACCCCTCGCTGAATTCGTGCACAATCACCGAAGACATGAAGCAAGGAACGCATTGCCGTTCTTCCTCATGATGGGATACGAACCTCGCGGCATTCCCCACGTGCTACCATCATCAGATACCCCTGCCGTAGAAGAAAGGGTTCGCACCCTCCAAAAGATCAGGGAAGAAGCCATCTCTTGCCACAATATCGCCATGCAACGAATGGCAGAAAGGATGCACGGAAAGAAGTACCAACCGTGGAAGATAGGAGATAAGGTCTGGCTATCTGCAACTAATCTCATGACCACTCTCCCATCCAGGAAACTTGCGCCCAAACGGCACGGACCGTTCTCCATAACCGCAGTCCTATCACCCATCACGTTCACCTTGAAACTTCCTGAACAATGGAAGGTTCATCCCACGTTCCATGCTTCCGAACTATCCTCCTATCAGGAGACAGGGATTCACGGACCGAACTACGAAGAACCACCTCCAGATATATAGTCAATCAATCGGAGGAATACGAAGTCGAAGCCGTCCTGAGTCATAAGGGCACGGGTAAACGAAGACGCTATCTCGTATCCTGGAAAGGATACTCTTCTGGAAGCAACGAATGGATTCCAGCGGAGAACATGGAAAACGCCGGGGACCTACTTTCTGCCTATAAGAAGAGGCACAGATTGAACTGAATCGACCAGTCCCCACCACCATAAAAACATGTCCTCTCAAACTACTTCCCCTACTGAGTCCAATGTTTCCTCCATCAGCCTCTGTGAATCCCCTTTTGCCGACAACGTTGTCAGCATTGAAGACGACGTCATTGTCGAAACCACCATCCTTTCCGTCGCCCACGCCCTCGAAATCGAAACCTATCTCAACAACCAGCCAGCAGTGCCAGCCGGAGTCGCGGCCACCTATATCCATATCATTAGAGCCACCCAACGTCTCGAAGAAGAATTTGCCCAGATTGAGAACGACGCTCTCCGACTCTCCTGCAACCACGTCCAGCGGCGTATTCGCTCGCTTACGCTTCAGCTATTCCCTCTTGGTTTTAGCACTATCTGCAGGGAAATTATACAGACTGTTGCTGATCGAAACTCCTTCCAAGTCGGCTGCCCGTTGCCTCCTATTACTCATAACCCCCCCGCTGTTCTACCTGATCCAACTTCGATTGGAGGGAATTTTGCACCAGTACCTGTACCTGTCCCAGCGCCCAGCGAGGTCCAGAGAAGAAACCTCCGCGGCGGAGCCGCCATTCACGGCGTAACCAAGAACAAATCATCCAAAGGAAAGAAGCGTGAGGTCATCGACCTCACCAAGGAACCCTCCACTATCGCTGACGCCAACTTCATCTGCTGACTCTGTAAGAAGCTCGGTCACAAGCATAAGAACTGCCCCCTATACTTTTGTCGCTTCTGTGGTGACACGAAACCCGGGCACTTCTCCATCTACTGCCCCTTTGACACCAACAAGCCAGCATTCCCGTTGGTATATACCGACGAAGGCTTCTACGAAGCGTTAGCCGCGTGGGAAGCAGAAAAAGACAAGAAAGAAGAGGAGGATCTAGAGCGTGCCAATAGGGAGTACTTGGTACAGCCGGAGGAATTGGAATTCCACAATGCCGACGCCGACCCCATCTACTATGCAAACCAGGACAACTAGTGATGTCGATGCCGGTGACATCGACCATAACGCGGGGGTAATGTTACGGTATACTCATTCTCTTCGTTTCTCCTTTGTTACCGGACAATGGTACATGGATACGGCCCTTAACGAGCGACCAATCACTTTTCAGACCCTTACTCATATCATCGCCAAGCTAACCTTCCGTACCAGTAACCATCACTATGTTTAGCCGACTATCTCTTATCAAAGCGGGCTGTCCGCACCATGGTTACTATCTCCTATCTCTTATCTCTTATCACTTACCAAGCGGGCTGTCCGCCTTCTATCTTGATACGCATTTACAAGCTCCGCTTGAACTCTTGCTATATAGATACATAGCATACCACATGTAGTTCTTCACTTTAATCTACTGGGTTTTACCTGGAACAAGTCCTTTAGCAAGGTCTCCAACCTTGCTATCTAAGAACCACCATTCTAAGGAAGTCGCCGATACTTGCCTTAGCCAGAAACCTTTGACCTCTCATTCGAGAGAAGAACCACGTCTGTCTCGCCGAATCTCAGTCCACTCGGACTAAGACAGCTCAACATACCCCAGTCGTAACAGATAGGTACTGCAGGAGAGCGTCTGAATGGCAAAAAAGTCAAGCCTTCACAATTGTGATCCTTCATTGGCTGTAGTAGCTAAGTATATAATGGATGCCTGGTTTTATGTATCCTATGAACCATGTCAAAAAGACATGTATCACATAGCTATGTCCAATTGGTCTCATTCTTACAAATACCGGCCACAAACACATGAGTTGTACTTGTGATCGAAAACAGGATCACTGGCAAATTTTGAGCAAGGGTCTCAGGATGACATGTACTGAATCTATAGTGACAGACAGACGACATAGTTGACCAAGATGTTACTATTACATCATGAATACCACGATTGTCATGCGTTGGTGAAAAAATACAAAAATGATGAACATGTATGATTCACTTTCAGCCTGAAGGCTGGGTATAATCTCGATGTCATAAGCAACCCGTACACGAACATTCAGTACAGTACAATCTATTGTCGTGCGCCGACAGTATGCTACACACCACCACCATCCGGTACAAAAACTTCTTTCATCTGCGCTCGCTTCTCCCGAATTCTTGCCAGCGCACTGTTCTTGACGAGGGGACATTGAGCAGTCGAATATGACAGGAAAATTTGCCTAGAAAATGTGAGAATCAATAGAACAGAACAAGTTGCCAATCACCTGTTCCACCACACAGTTAGGTCGTCCACCTCTTGTTTCTCATCCGGGTCTTCGAAGATTTCCAAAATTGAGTTGTAAAACCTTTCAGAGTCGGTGACCGTGTCTGTACGCGAAAACACGGGCGATGAGGTGAGGGCAAATTGGATCTGGAATGAATATCCACTGTTTGTTAGAGATGTAGATATGCGAAGTGTACTAGACAAACCTGCGTTGCAATATAGGCGATGGAGGGCAGCGTGACTCGAGTCATCCCGTGAATGCGAGCATTACCTGAACGAGTTGCCTTCGGTTCTTTGTCCACAGAACTGGGGGACGTAAAGACGTGTCTATATGCCTGTGAGTCTAGTTAAGTGCAAAATTTTTTGGAAATGACTTATATCATACACAAACAAGCAAGGCACTCCGAAATAGACCATTCCATGGATCCTCAGGATTGTAATGGTAGTCGGCATACAAGAATAACGGCCACTGGTCTCCAGTCACGATGATCTCACCACTTTGTAGCTTAGCTTTCGTTCTGCATTTCATCAGTATTTGAGTCAAAGAAATATATGACACGCACTCAGAGTTAGACCAGTCGAGGCCAGCAGGACAAAGTAACGCGCCTGTCCGTTCATGATGAAAACCGCGATCGACTTTCACATTGCGAGCAAGAGGTGGGACAAGATTCTGTCCCTTCGGGGTAATCCAGTCGAGCACGCTGCCTTTGAGACTTTTAGTATCATCGCCCCTTGCGCCAGATGCACCTTTGGTGAGCTAAGGATAGGTAAGATAAACGAATAACTTCGAAGATATATGAAGAGAATGTGATACTTGCGAGCTCTGCAACGATGTCAACCTCATCCTCTCCGCTTTGCATCAAACGCTCTTCTAGGCCCGCCACAGACTTGAGAAGTTCTTGAAAAACACGATGCTCGCGTCGTTCCCTTGGAATATACGTGCGATTAAATAGGCCCACATAACTCTCAGGAAAACATACTCAGCAGTAAAGTTTTCCTCTGGAATGCCGGCTAATTCTCCCATCCGTAGAATTCCGTTCGTGAGAAGGGCTTGGAAGTTACAAAGAGCATGGACTGTCCGCCCGAAATGACGTCCATAGTGTACCAGCGGATCCGTCGCACTCCTGTATTATCATTGCAATCATTAGCAATCACTCCCCGAAAATATAAAGTCACTCACGGTCTTTTCCTGGGACCAAGTTGCAGGGCATCAATCTGTTTGCGACGTTGGCCGCAAGATTCGTTGTCTTCGGACATCTGTATTGATTGCGAGGCAGGGTGAGAATCAGGTCCCACCATGACCGCAACTATAAATCCCATCAGCTGCAGTGTTTGGTGCTATTTGAGAGAGCGACTTCAATCTGCTTTTGGAATTCAAGTATTGCCAATGAAATAACCACTTACTGTTAATTACGTAGATAAATTTGATGGCAGCGCTTAACACCATGCAATGATAGCCGCCAAAGATGGCTGTTACATAGCAAGGGTACAGGCCACGTCTCAAGCGCTTCCTATCAATGTCTCGCGTCAACGTTTATATTTTGAAACTGGCATTATCACTTACCAGACGGACAATATGATTTGTGAAGAGGAAAGTCGCGGTCATGATGTCCCAAGCAGTATTCTATAAATCGCCTTCTTTGTCGACGAGGAGTCGGATAAGCTCGGGAACGAGTATCGGGTGCGACTTCAGTAAAGTCTAATACTAATTAGCCATTAGTATGAGCACAGACACGTATTAGCTTACATAGTTCAACTGCATCGAGACATCTGGAAGGAGTGTGAACTTTTATAATTAAAAACAACAACCAAAGCTCGCGTACATTGAAGAAACTCTGTGATGGTCTTTACAATGTCCGTGAGACTTGCTGCAGACAAGAAGTACTGTCGCCCAAAGCGAAGTCCCTGGGCCTTTCCTGCTTGAAACAAGATTGTGAATATAACGTGCTGTTCATATTGTCGAAGATACTCACAAGTAGTGCGGTCGTGGGGATACAAAACGGACGTGATCGCGGTTGCACTATTCGAAGACGTCCATAGTATTCCGCTAGAGTCAGAAATCCATCAGTCTAGTTAACGACGCAATAAGATCACTGCAAACACACCTTTGAAACTGTTTAGATCAAGGCTTCTCTTCGACACAACTCTCCCTTAGACAGACTGTTCGTGTTGCGCGTGTTACTGCACGGGATGGGCATATCGTAGTAAGCGAACTAGAATAGGCTCTTAATCGCCCTCGTTGCGTGTCGTTCTGGCAGTTAATCTGTGCCATTGGCAATAAGTTGGGTGGTGGAATGATATGAGACAAGGAGTATACCAACAGATTATCACGGGCGGAGAGAGCTGTAGCCTGGTACTAGTAGCAAGCTCCCAAATTGTCGGGAGTCTCAGGCTTCTCGATCCATCCTTCCAGACTTCGCCTGTAGGCACATCACCTCTGCAAATCTATCTGCAAAAAGCACACCACTTTGAACTCGTGCCTTGATGGCGCAGAGATCTGCGAAGGCGACGGAGAAGCCAAATACACCACTTAGATTGTATGCATAGGATGCCATGATGATTTTGAGTTCCTCGTCGGAAAAAGATAAAACCTCTGGTCGCCGCGCAAAGTGTTGAGCTGTCTTTTGAATCGCTCGTGTCCTGGGATCCGAAGACCCCTTCCCTTCTAAAGCCTTCTTCTGGAGAGCAACAGCGACTTGCCACTCTCCATGTACTCTCTGGACATGAACTTTGACATCATTTAAGTTGTCTTGCGGAATTTGAAACCCTTTGTGCGAAGCTTACGGTGTTGCCCTACGAGACGTAGAAAGGTAAGGTGAAGCGAGGTCGCGGTCTGCCGTATTGGTGGAAGAACTCCGGAGGATGGGATAATGTTTGAGGAAATCGTCACGGAGGCGACGGACCTCATCAACAAGGGCATCCGCCACGACTCTGGACTCGGAAGTTCAAGTTGCAGGTATCCTGTTTGGAGTTCATCGCCTATCTCATCGAGGAAGCATCCTAACAGATCCTAACGTACCAGTAAGTGTCCTGACATGTCTGGGCTCGTTGAACCTTCCTGAGTCGGATGACGATAGTGGTCACTATCATTGACAAGTCATCGACTCTGGCGGCTGGCCCGGGCAGCCTGAGAGTACCGTGACTGTCACTTTGACAGATCATCCTCTGAGTAAGTTATTGATATTAGTATTACTAGTACATCTGAATTCACACAACTTGAAAGTAGTTACTACGATCGCTAGCGGCCGCGATATCATGATGGTCATTACGAAAGCCTCCACAGCAGATACCCTGTTCCGCACAACCAATCTAGTTTTCGTAGTCAAGGATAGCATCATCATCACTATCATAATCCTCGTTGCAGTCTTCATCTAAATCAGATTCCAAGGCCGAGTCAGACAGGAGGCCCTGATCTGGATCCAAATTAACTTCCTCCTCCTCGAGATCCTCAAAAATTGCACTAGTTGTGTCAGCATCCGAGTCTCTGTTAGTACTAGTATGCGTGTATGTGTGCCCGACTCCTAACCCCCACTGATACCGCATGAACATGTCGCGGTCTACAAAACTAAGCTGTCACGTCAGGATAGCTTTTTTAAGGGAGCCGATGGACGTACCGATTGATGTAATAGAATTTCCAGTCTAGCTGATCCTGAGCACAACGAGAAACACCTTTTCCATCCAAATGCCGCAGGTGTTGAGAGAATTGCGGAATGACATGGCAACATCTAAGGACGTCATTAGGATCAACAAACCCAAACGCGTCCGGTTCTGCCATGGGAGGGAAGCAAACACGATCCAGAGATGGGCACCAGCTCGAGCCTTCATCCACGTATTGATACCAGCGCACCCACAGGAAGTCGATGCGATGCGAGTGATACCTGATAATACCAGGACCAATATAAGTGACATTGACATGATAAACGCCAAGTACTGCGAGCGTAGAGATAAGGGTGTTGTTCACTGGTGGCATTTGAGTCCTCACTGGCGTGGCCCAGGAGCATGATATTACAGTGTGATGTTGATGGATTAATGATGTCCTGCGCTCGGCGGACATCATATGTCGTGTAGTTGAGACGCATTAAGTTATGTCTGTACATGCGATCGGCCTTGATCAAAATTTGACCTTCCGAGTTTGCGTTTGTTGGGGTAGTACTACCTGGGACCGTAACAGCAGTGGAACTGTTAGTATGTGAAAGACCATCTTCCGTTGTTAAGATATCCTTGATCTTAGCAAGGAGAAAGCGCTTCAGCTTAGGTAAAAAGTCCTGTCGCTCGAAATCAGCACCGTGTTGCATTCAAGCTATCTATGGCACTCACTTTGGTAGCAGGATCGCCCAGGTGCATTTGGAGGAATAGCGGGATGTTTACGGGGTTATTTTGTGATTTCCCGACAGTGGAAACGAGCTTCAGGCGACGAGGCAACTTCTTCGTCGATGACCGCACCGTGTGGTGACTGGTTGTCACGAATGTGATGTATACGGGCCTCACGTCGTTCGATGCTGCTTATCTGTTTCACGAAATCTTTTCGATCTGTTCGACAATACCTTGCTTTCGAGGTGCGGTGTTCTAGCTCTCCCTAGATTGCACAATAGATTATTTTGTTTGATCGACGATATGATCAAAAAAAGTTCTACTCACCGGTTCGGTGCTATACGAGTCTGTCGTGCCAAAGTTGCGTATAGAGGTAGAATAATCACCCAGGGCGTGTAACTTGTACGTTTGTAGATTAAAAGTCTTCGGTCGCCGAGTTGTCTGAGATGTCGACGTCGATGCCTCTCCAGTGCCATGTTGAACAAGGTTTCGCGACTGCTGGCGCTGGCGACGTTCTGCTTCCCTTTTTAATTCCTTAGTATTAAACGCTACGCACGTATGTCTCTGGAAGTGACGAAGCTGCTTTCCGAGCGTAACGGTGGCAGTATCGAGGAGGTTAAGGGTCTCGTCGGTGTGCATACGCAGCTTTGCGAGAGCGTGCCAGCGTGCACATGTACAAAGCAGAGTCAACACATTTGTATTGTGTGGCTCTGGAAGGAGTGCATCAAATACAGGGATGGCGCACTGATTAGATAGGTATGGGTCACGGAAAATAGTTAAAAAGAATACGGAACATTACCTGGAGAAGGTCTTCAAAGTCCCGAGAAGCCATCTTCTTCATTTCAGAAGCGTCTGAAGCAAATTTTCGAATAGTGTCGCGGCCAAAAGTAGGAGTGTGTCTGTAACTAAGTTGTGTCCTCATCAGTCAGACAACCTTTGTCGAGTTTATTTAATAAAACATACCGACGATCAAGTTCATGCACTAATACATCACCTGGGCGAGCAGAACTGAGAATGCGTATCAGATGGACGAACAGTGCTTTCCAGACACTGTTACAGTAACATGGCACGAGTCCCCCGCCGGCAGACAGCCCTCTGCCACCCGCACGGCTATAGACGATAGACGACACCGGAGTCTCACCAGCTCCATAGACGACGATAGATGAAGATAGATGATGATAGACGATAAGCGGCAACTGCCGGCTTAGGTAAGCGGTCTGGACCGCACGTGATATATGACGACATAGGTCTAGAAGACCTATTTATGTTATCAAGATAGAAGGCAAGCCTCGTGTTGCCTCATGTACTGATAGAAGGATACCATGTGGATCCTATCTCTGATGGAAGCGTACCGCATGGACGCTATCTACGATAGAAGCCCGCCTCATGGACGCTATCTCTGACTCATGTAGATAAGCATATTAGAACCCAGCTTTAGGCTGAGCTTAGACACGATAGAGTAGCCTTATATAAGGTCGAAGATTAAAGTAGATGTTCCTTACTTTAATCTTACTAGGTATCACCCAGAAACTAGTCCAATCAACTAGGTTTTCCCTTGAACTCCTTGTCCCGCTAAAGCCACCTGCTCGACATCGACTCGTACCTTCAGTGACGCCTCTCACTGTCTGTAACCTCTGCTATCATCTCAGCGTAACCCCTCGTTAACCACCACGAGCTACGTTCGAGTACGCAACCTTTGCTTGTTTGTAAAGGCCGACGACTCTCAGCACTTGGTACCACTGTCGTGGTTGTCGCTGTTAGAACTATCCTAGTCGCACACGACCGCTTGTCGTAACAAAAGATTAAAGTATAAATCGCACGTCACCCATCTGTGACGCCAGATCCCTGATCGCACCTATCTTCAACGCTACCGAAGATCTGTAGAAGAAACCCCGAAACGTACCGGCCTGACCAGTCGCAAGAATATAAGAACCGCTGTCACAGTAGAAGACTTCCTGCTCGGAACACTACAAAGAAACCAACCATCTCCGATATGGCAACCTCCCGCAATACCTTGGCCGCTTCCCACCTTACGGGAAAAGAAACTCGTATCTACCTAAACGAGAAAAGATGCTTTGTATGCCACGTCACTGGCCACAAAGCCGCGGGCTGCCCACAATGGCCCAGAACCCCGCGGAGAAAGATGATCGAAGAAGACCTCCGGGTGAACTCTATCAAAGAGACCGGAGTTAAGAAGAATGAACTACGGGTGAACGCCACCCTACTAACCAGAACGAGAAACACCCCCATCTCGACATCCATGGTCGTCGACTCAGGGGCGTGCCAGTCCTTTGTCAACAAGGACTTCTGCACGACGCACAGAATCTCGTCGCACCAGCTAGAGAAGCCTTTCACGCTCTCTAATGCTGACGGATCCAGCTTCGGAAAGAAGCCAATTGAGAGGTATTGCACCCTCTCCTTCCTAATTGATGAACGGGTATGCACCGAACGGTTCTACCTCGCCGAGCTTACTCCGAAAGAGAAGCTCATGCTTGGACAACCCTGGCTTATCAGCCACAACCCCGCCATCGACTGGACGAACGGCACGGTGACTCTCAAAAGCACCGTAGATTCCCGAAAGAAAGAAAAGGAGATTGACTCCGACCGGAAGAAGAACGGCAAAACGCCCCTCTTCCAGAAAGAAGAAAAGAGGGGCGCACAGAAAAGGAAAAGGTCCGTTTCCCCGACCACTCCCCGCGCCTCCTCCAGTGGCCTCGCTTCTATGAGCTTGGCACCCACGACGAAGATCGTACCGGTTCAAGAGGAACCGCACGGAAACCCGCCATCCGTGAAACTCCCTATCCCTACTGCACGATCAACGAAAATCGTAAAGAAAGATTCGCTGCCCCGTATTGACTTCGCAGCAAAACGATTTGAGCAGAAGAAACCGGCCACTGATCCGGAGACAACTCAGAAGAAGGTCGTAAGACCAGCGGTAATCACGGACTACATCATCCCCGACACACCCGCAAAGAAGATCGGACCGGCTGTTCAGCCGATGAAAGAAGAGACTCCTGAACCTTATCGATTCTCGGCGGAGCCTGCATCAGTCCTCGGAAAAGGACGTGCAGTTATGACAGAAGAACCGCCTATCTCAAAGGCACCTAGACTGGCCCCTGAACCAGAGAAAACTCAGACCCCTAGATTCGAATTTTCCGGAGAACCGATCTCCGTTCTCGGAAAAGGAAGAGCCGTGTCGACGGCAGAACCACCTGAAGCCAAGAAACTCAGGTTTTACGAAAGCCCGGCTGATGACACCGACACAGCCGATGAAAACCCCATCCCGAATTCCTTGAACCTCTCCATGCCTTCCGCGGAGATCCCCGCTGATAACATCGATGCAATGATGCAACACCGGGAACCCGCACCTGAACCATCTTCCGACTCAGACTTCGACATGTTCCTAGAACGTGTTCGTATTATAAACGAGGCCCATCGCCTGAAGGATCTGAGCGAAAATGACCCTGACGAGTTTGCTCGTCTTGTAAAGAAGGAAGAAGAAGAAGTCGGACCGCATTTTGTCCGCTTCACAGATATGGAATCTATCGATGACCGAAGCGACGAAGCAATAACGCTCGCTTCCGACCTAGGGGCGCTACACGCGCCACACCCTGCTTCCAATCCCATCGAAGGTATATGGTTGGATTTAGAAGAACCATCGACGCACAACTGGCGCATGGTTGATGAAGAAGGAAACGACATCGAATACGAAGGCCCTGACGACGGCCTTGATTTTTAGACGAAAGATTAGTCATGGTAGACTAACGGCTTATTGAGGGGGTAAAATCCCTGATTTATTCTCGTTTCACGCACGACCCCCCACCACGAATACCATTTCCCGACTACTTCCCTATGATCTTAGATGACGACTTCGACGAATCTCCGCAAAAAAGTATAAACTACGGCTAGCCCGGCACGGCTCTAAACTGCACGATACTCCGCAAAGAGGATAAACTATGATCGTCCGAGAAGACGTAAAACTAGGAGAAAGGACGAACTCCCCGAACGGTCCCCACAGCCCTGGAACCCCTTATCCACGACCTTCGACAATCAATGAAGATTCACTCAACATAGATTAAGAAGACCCCTCCTCGCGAGACGACCCCAGGAAACTCCTGCAAGCCTTGGCACCTACGCTTGGACCCCGTACCTTCTCTCACCCAATGAAGATTATATCAACAAAAGGTTAAAAGAAGATGACCTTCCATATCCAGATAGATCTTGAAAGACAGATCGAAACAAAAGATAACGAAGAAGAACCGGAGACAGAACGAACCCTCGGAAACTCCTGCAAGCCCGCGGATCTCTTATCCACAGAACCCTCCTCGACATCCCGATAGATCCGAAAGATCTCAACATAAGATGAAGAAGACGATCCTCCGGAACGAGGCTAAACTATCATGAGGCGAACTCCTTATCCACGGAATCCTCTAGAACGACTTCAACTCTTATCAACAAAAAGATGAGAAGACGATCCTCCGGAACGAGGCTAAACTATCACGAGGCGAACTCCTTATCCACGGAATCCTCTAGAACGACTTCAACTCTTATCAACAAAAGATGAAGAAGACGATCCTCCGGAACGAGGCTAAACTATCACGAGGCGAACTCCTTATCCACGGAATCCTCTAGAACGACTTCAACTCTTATCAACAAAAAGATGAAGAAGACGATCCTCCGGAACGAGGTTAAAACTATCATGAGACGAACTCCTCGGAAACTCTGCAAGCCCTTGGAACCTCTAGATCCGCCGCCAATATCAACGAAAGATAACGGAACGCACCCTTCCATTATGGCAATGATTACCACCCTCTGATGAGACGAACCTTGATCCCAAGTATAACAAAGGAATTAACGAAGATCGTACCTATCACGGCACCTCCCCTCTGATAGTGAAGAACCATCCCTCGTGTCCCGATAACGAGAAGATCTCAGCCTCATGGCTAGATAGATAACGATAGAAGACATCAACCAAAAGATAAGTCTCGAATCAAGCGGAGCTTGGAAACGACCTGGAAGCCATATAAGGCCTCTCCCAAGAACATCCTTCCCAGAACCTCCCAACATCATGACGACCTCTGCTGTAGAAGAAACTATCCGTATTGCACTCAAGGACTCCGACTACGGACGAATCCTTAAGAGACGATTGAGAACAACGCGTTCAGCGAAACCCGCCATTCTCTCTCCTATGTACTCCCCAAGTGATCCGACGACATCCTTGGTGAGCAAGACCGCCAGACTCGGTGCAGGGACAATCCCTTGCAGTCTGCATTATCCGTACCACGAAGCTGCTGGAAGAACGTAGCCAATCGTGATGACCTCGATGAAGGCACGAAGAAACTTGCCGTGCTTCATTTACAGAAAGGATTCGCGTACTCGCGCTTCACCTCCTTCCGCTCGACTTCCCCGACATCGCGAACCAAGCTGTCAGAACAGTCGAGCAAGGCCTCATGTTGAAGAAAGAGTCCCGACCGGTGCGCCCGCTAGAAGAAGAAGGCGGCCACCATAGATCGTACCCGTACCACGCTCTGCAAGCGTTGCGGAGGATCCGGACACGCGTGTAGAAAGTGTCCAGATTATGTTTGTTGCGTTCTGCGACGAACTAGGACCCGACCATCTGTCGGTCCACTGCCCTCAGCTCAATGGACGCCACGTATCTCCAAGAGTTTAGAGATGAAGAGAAGTGTTTCGAAGCTCTCTTAGATTGGGAGCATAACCATAAAGCGCTCGCGGACTCCACGCTTAGACACCCAAGCACCCCTCGCCCGAACCAGAAACTCCCCCCGTACCAGCCGTCTCCACGCCTACGACACCCCCGACGATGGAAGCTGACGATGAAGAACACAGGATACTCAAAGTCGGTGACTTTGACGCTAGTAGAGGGGTAATGTTACAGTAA